CCTGCATTCAATTAGCACGAAATCAGAAGAACATTCTCAGCGGCCAGTCTCGGGTGACGTCAGCTAATTATCTCACTGGATACGGACCTATTTGTGTTGTTGGGTACCATGGACCCTGCAGAGTCACACCAGGCACAGATAAGCTCCCTCGAAGGCACTTACCCTGTTATTAGGGAAAACACTGTATAGCTAATGGCATAGGTTAGGCGCTTCAACAACAGACATGTATCTCTCACTTGTGGAGTTTGGAAGTCCATGGTCAAGGACCCGTTTCCTGGATAGCAGAGGGCCAACTTGTTGCCATGCCCTCACATGGTGGGGAACAGAGAGGGAGCAAACTCTGTGGGGTCTATTTTTTTTATTTCAATCCTTATTGGAGGATATTTTTTCCATTGATTTTTAGACAGAATGGAAGGGAGGGAGGAAGGGGAGAGAGAAACATCGACTTGAGAAAGACACATCGATTGGCTGCCTCCCGCACGTGCCCCAACTGGGGCCGGGGATCGAGCCTGCAACCCAGGTCCGTGTCCTTGACGGGGAATTGGACCCGAGACCCTTCTATCCACGGGCTGGCGCTCTGAGCATTGAGAAAACTGGCCAGGGCTGTGGGGTCTCTTTTATAAGAGCCCGAATCCCATTCATGAGAGCTCCACCCTCGTGACCCAACCACCTCCCAAAGACCTCACTCCTGATACCATCACTTGGGGGGCGGGTAGGATTTAACATATGAATTTGAGGGATGTACATTCATCCCAGAACATAAATGCATGGATGTGACTATGATGCTGGCTCAGCAGAAGGTGCTGGTCTCCGGGGTGCAGGTCTCTGTGTGGGGAGGTGCAGGTCCTTGGGGGTGCAGGTTCCTGGGGGTACAGGTCTCTGAAAGCCTTGCATAGAGCCCGCTGCCCTCCCCCCTCCCCGAGCTGCCCAGGCAGGTCGCTCCTTGGTAACGTGTCATTAGCATGTTGCCCATGAGAACGAACAACCAGCTCAACCTGAATGCCATTCCTGGGTCGCTGGGTGCAGCTCCTTTTTCACTCCCTTTGTGTGGCCAGGCTCCGTGCGGGGTGCACCCAGGAGCGTGTGCAGGAGTCCTCTTCTCTGTCTGCTTTTGCTGGCTCTCAATCTTGCCATCACCAGTGATTTTATCCTTGGAAATATATTAACTTTTTAATTGAATTTATTGGGGTGACATTGGGTAATGAAATGACATAGGTTTCAGGTGCACAATTCTATAATCCATCATCCGTACGGTCTATTGGGTGTTTACCACCCAAAGTCAAGTCTCCGTCATCGCCATTTATCCCCCCTTTACCCTCTTCTACCTCCCCACCCCTCTCCCTCTGGTCATCGCCATGCTGTTGTCTGTGTCTATGAGGTATGTGGGGTTTTTTCTTAATCCTTTCACCATTTTCACCCTGACCCCCAACACCCCTCCCCTCTAACAGCTGTCAGTCTGTTCTCTGTATCTATGAATCTGGTTCTGTTTTGTGTGTTAGTTTATTTTGTTCATTAGATTCCACACATAAGTGACATCATATGGTACTTGTCTTTCTGAGACTGGCTTATCTCACTTAGCACAATACCCTCTAGGTCCATCCATGCTGCCCCAAAAGGTAAAATTTCCTTTTTTTTAAATGGCTGAATAGTATTCCATTGTGTAAATGTATCACAGCTTTTTTTAAAAAATATATTTTATTGATTTTTTACAGAGAGGAAGGGAGAGAGATAGAGAGTTAGAAACATCGATGAGAGAGAAACATCGATCAGCTGCCTCCTGCACATCTACTGGGGATGTGCCCGCAACCCAGGTACATGCCCTTGACCGGAATCGAACCTGGGACCCTTCAGTCCGCAGGCCGACGCTCTATCCACTGAGCCAAACCAGTTTCGGCGTGTATCACAGCTTTTTTAAAAAAATTATTATTTATTGGGGTGAACCACAGCTTTTTTATCCACTCATCTACTGATGGGCACTTGGGTTGATTCCATATCATGGCTATTGTAAATAACTTTGCAGTGAACATAGGGGTGCATACATGTATATATATACACACACACATATGTACAGAGACACAGATCTATACACATGCAAAATAAACACACATGTAATATACATGATACAAACAGACATACATAAACACACACTTTACCCACACAGTAGTCATTTGGAAGCTATTAGAAGCACAGCTTGGAATATGACCCCAGAAGAACCCCAAATTCCCATTTTTGTTTTTTGTTTTTGTTTTGTGACCTTGATTTCCTGCATTCTTATCAACGAGGGCAATAAAAACCAATGCATGGGTTTATGGCTTTGCGTTGCAGGTTTCGGGGAAATAGGAGGGCGGGGGACAAAGCTGGCCCAGGAGGTGCTGCGCTCCTGTGGATGTTCCTAAGGCAGCGGTTCTCAACCTGTGGGTCGCGACCCCTTTGGCGGTCAAATGACCCTTTCACAGGGGTCGCCTAAGACCATCCTGCATATCAGATATTTACATGACGATTCAGAGCAGTAGCAACATGACAGTTATGAAGTAGCAACGAAAATCATTTTATGGTTGGGTCACAACATGAGGAACTATATTTAAAGGGCCAGAAGGTTGAGAACCACTGTCCTAAGGGGAGCGCTGGGGTGCAGGCGGCACCGCTCTCCCAGCAGGAGGAGTGGCCGCAGCAGCACTGCCCTGGGTGCCCATGAGGCCCCATCAGGAAGAGGGAGGGGCCCACGCTGGGCTGAGTCATTCTTTACTAGTGTTTCCCAGGGGCGTGGCTCCCACAGGCGAGTTCTCTCCCTCCTGGGTGGCTCTCACAGCACGTCCTGTCCAAGGCGCTCTGCACATAGAGCTGCTTTTGAATAAGTGCATCCAATGTGGACCTAGATAGCCAAGGCACCAAGCCCTGAGCAGTACATGGCAGCGCCTTTCATTCTCCCATTTCTCGGAGGTGCTGGGTACTGATGCATTAGCAGGGGCCGGCGCTTCGAGGGGGTCAGTGGATGCTAGAGTGGAAGAGTTTTAGCAGAAGAAAACCTCCCAGGGTCCCTTGCGGCTTTGACATGAAAGGCTGGGCAGGCATTTGCGATTCATCATGAGTTAGGACACGTTTTCCTGTCAACCAGTGCCCGGCTGTCTGAGCAGGCACAAAGCCTTAGGTGAAGGGGGACGTGGGGGTCACAGGGCCTTCCCTCCGCGCTGGCCATCAGAGCCAGAGCTGCCCCTCAGACGGCGTTGTCGCATGGACAGTACCACTGCCATTCTGAATTTTGTCCACACAGCTGCTTGGCTGTGCGTTGTTTTCTCAAACACTCATTGCCACGTTCAGGTTGTTTTGATAACTTCCAGTTTGTCTTGGTGTGTACCTAATACCCATTTTTAAAAAATCTGACTTCCCACACCAGGTTAATACTAAGGTCTTACACTCGGCTGTTTTCTCAGCTTGTTTCTAAGCGGAGGCGGTGCCCGCAGCCTCCTGGGAGCAGAGAACGAACCTGTCCTCTCTCAGGTCCCAGTGGGATCCTGTCCTCTGCCAGATGTGAGGAATTCCAGTTTCTGGCTGGGAGCAGGGTCCTGCCCTTGGACTTGCCGTAGTGCAGGGTGGGGACTGCAGCCCCGGCTGGCTCTGAAGCATCCACTGAACCTGGAGGGACCTTTCTCCTGAGGACATAGCAAGAGGGACAGGGACAGGACACTTGCCACTTAGTACCCAAGACAGGGTTGGAACGTGTAATTCCCAGGCCCAGTAGCATGTCCTGGGGTGCAGTTCATCCCTCAGCCACAAGGGGCGCTGGTCGACAGGGAAACGTGTCCTATCCGGCTGCTGGTTAATAGGTTGCAGGTCTGATGGGCGCCGGAGTCGCTGGTTCCCGGTTTGCTGCCCTGGTCAGGGTCTCCTTTAACAGCGCAGAGCTGGTCTCTTCAACGGACAGCTCTTGCCTTCCTGGGAGAGTCAGCCCGCGGCTCATTTTATTGCTGTGTTGGGTCGCAAGAGGCAGTGTGTCAACAAAGGTGTGGCCGGCTGGTTTGTTGCAAATGGAATAGTTGTTAATGCCTTGAGCTTTAGCTGCGGCACAGATGAACATGTGTGTGAAGCATGTATGCATGGTTTTGTAGGCATGTTTATGTGTATATGTATATGCATTTAAATACATATATATATCATGGAAAGACAGAAATGGATTATGGATATGGAAATGGGTAAGAATTTGAAAAGATCAGCGAATGGTTGCAGCTTTCAAATGCAAGTCTTTCTTTTCATTTTTAACACTACGCCACTGATTTGAAAGGCTTTATTAATCAGTTCATTTTCGACCCATCTTAGAAAGTTCTCTTTGTATGTGGCGATTTCCTGGATGAAATAAGCCACATAAAAATATTGTTGCAGCATGAAATAAATATTTCTGAATAGACCTGTGTATGAGAATTTTCACATTGTTTTCTAAAAGCGTTTGTGTAAATTTTGATTTTTGCTCCCAAATGCAGCTTGTGTGGACTTGCACGTGAGTCTATATGTCACGTGTGTGCGTGTGTTTTCCGTACCTCCCGCCCTGTGGTGGGACGTGCCCATATATGGCCTCACGGTGCCCAGCGTGTGCTTGGACTCAAGACCTGGCCTTAGGAATCGCGATGGGCACGGGCGTGGGAAAATGCCTATGGGTTTAATTCCTTACAGCGATTCAAGGAGATTCGCAAGATCTGGGTCTAGTCCTGTTTGGGAAGAAGGTCTTCACTGGAATCGGTTGCTCATTTTTATTTTTTTTATAAATTATTAATGATATGGCATTTTATTTATTTTTTAATAAATTATTTTATTTATTTTTTAAATATATTTTATTAAAGGAAGGGAGAGGGAGAGAGAGACAGAAACATCAGTGATGAGAGGGAATCATTGATCGGCTGCTTCCTGCATGCCCCACACTGGGGATCGAGCCCGGGACCCTTCAGTGTGTAGGCCACTGAGCCAAACCAGCTAGGATGGCTGCTCATTGTGCTTCATTCTTCCTCTAGACAAGCAGATGCCCAGTGTCCGGAAGACGGTCCAGGAGCACATCGGGGCCTGCGGCACCCGGCCCAGGGGTCTGAGCCATCTCGCGCCCCAGAAGCCCCAGAGGTGCCCCAGGAGGGCCGAGGCAGGGCGGGCACCCTCCCCCGTGATTACAGATACTCCGAGGACCACGCACCTGCTGTCCCACTGCCACCGCCAGGCCCAGGGTCACAGGCGCAGAGCGGCCTCTCGGCCCCGCACGCCGGGGGGCAGGACCCTCGGCCTGTGAGTGCCGCGCCGCTCGCCAAGAGACCTGCCCCGCAGAGGCCGCCACCGCCCAAGCGGGAGCCCAGGCCTTTCAGGGGACCAGCCAGTGCCACCCCCGCGGGCACCCCTGCGGGCAATCACCTGGCTGTGCCCAGCAGGCCCCTTCCCCCGCCGCCATCTCCCGCCCGCAGCCCCTGTGTCTTGGCGGAGAAGCCGAGCGGTGCCCAGCCCGCAGACGGCCCCAAGGCCCCCGGGGAGCAGGACAGGCAGCATGTAGATGAGCACCCAGCCTGTCCGAAGCGAGAAGCCCTGCTCCCTTCCAAGTTCCGGCCCCTGCAGACATCCGCCATGGAGACCTCGCGCTCCCCTTCTCCTCAGTTCGCCCCCCAGAAACTGACGGACAAGCCCCCCCTGCTCATCCAGGATGACAGCTCAACAAGGTAGGGCCCTGGGAAGGTGGCCTCTGCATTCTTCCCCTTTCACGGGCTCCCTTCTGCCTGTAGGAGGTTTTCCATGCACCCTCCCTGCCCAATGCCTTCCCTCCCTGCTCAATGCCTGCCCTCCCTGCCTAGTGAGCACCCTCCCTGCCCAGTGCGCACCCTCCCTGCCCAATGCTTGCCCTCCCTGCCCGGTGCGCGCCCTCCCTGCCCGGTGCGCGCCCTCCCTGCCCAATGCTTGCCCTCCCTGCCCAGTGTGGGCCCTCCCTGCACGGTCTGTGACCGGTGCCTTGCTCTGCCCAGAAGTCGGACTTTCCCTTGGTCTGGAAATAGCACGGAGGGGCCCAGAGCTCCTGCAGTCCCTGGATTCTAACTTGTTGGGGAGCTGCTGTGAAGGAGGGAGTAGACCACCCTCAGCCCCTTCATCCAAGCCCCAAACCTTATATGTGCGATACCCGCAGGCACCTAGGGACAAGGGCTGTGTTTATTTCTAAGCGCTTTCTGATTGTGATCGTAACCCAGTGTAACCCTGACATGAGACCTTTGGTTGAAATTGGTGTTTTTCGTAATGTCCACTATGTCCATACCCCTTTTTGTCTAGATCTTTTTGTTTTATTTTTTGTGAACATTTTTTCCATTGATTTTTAGAGAGAGTGAAGGGGAGGGAGGGAGGAGGAGAAAGGGAGAGAAACATCAATGTGAAAGAGACACATGGATTGGTTGCCTTCTGGGAGCATGTGTCCTGACCCGGCTGGGAATAAAACCTGCAACCCAGGTACATGCCCTTGACCGGGAATCGAACACAAAACCCTTGGTGCATGGGCTGGTGCTCTAACCAGGGCATGTGACCTGACCGGGAATCGAACCGTGACCTCCGGGTTCATAGGTCGACGCTCAACCACTGAGCCACGCCAGCCAGGGCAGCACAGCTAGCCTTTTAAAATCTACTCACGAAGGCAGCATTATGGGGACCATCTGCGAACCCCTAGATTAAACACATCTGCTACCCCTGGTTTCCACTACACGGGAAGGAAATGCACAGCTGTTTCTTGTCAGCCTGCACACCACACCCTCATGAGCGGGGAGAGATCCCTCCTGTGCTCCCAGCCCCAGGGACAGGGTGCGACAGCAGGTGATGTGGGGCGCGCAGCACCCCGTGCTCCATAGAGTCGGCTCTGTTAGGCTCACGTTGCAGATCTGATGTTAAGCCACCGAGTTAGTTGAAGATGGTGCCCATCAAGATCGTGCACTCGGAGAGCCAGCCCGAGGTTGTGACTTGGGCTGGATTTTTCCTTCCTTCCTGGGCTCCAGGAGGTGGCTCTCTGTCTCCGATAGGTCCTGTGAAAAGACTTGGAACACGTTGGTCCTGGTGGCTCCTCTCGCAGGGTCCCCCGGGGCGTGGTCCTGTGAGGCGCAGCCCAGGGCACCAGCCAGCATTCGGGGCGTCCTGGACACAGCCCCGTTCTGTTGTCCAGGCTGTTTCTTTCCATTTTCTGTCTCTTTCCTGTAGGGATTCCAGGTGCTGTCCAGCTTCTTGTACCAACAAACTGTTTTTTAAAAGGAAAAGTGTGGCCCTAGCCGGTTTGGCTCAGTGGATAGAGCATTGGCCTGTGGACTGAAGGGTCCCGGGTTCGATTCCGGTCAAGGGCAGGTACCTTAGTTGCAGGCTCCTCCCTGGCCCAGGCCCTGGTCGGGGCTCATGCAGGAGGCAACCAATGGATGTGTGTCTCTCACATCGATGTTTCTCTCTGTCTTTCCCTCTCTCTTCCACTCTCTCTAAAAATCAATGGAAAAATATCCTCGGGTGAGGATTCAAAAACAAAACAAAAGCAAAGTGTGTGCTTAGTGACTCAGTCCAGATAACAGGGGAGCAGTGCGCCCGTTCGGTGCCAGGCCCTCGGCTCCCTGGTATGCCAGCTGCGCGAAGGGTGGCTTCAAGTGCTGGGTGGCGGCATGCAGGCGCGAGTGGCACCAGCCGGCCCGGGCGCGCCTCGCCTTTCAGCGCCTGGCTCTCTGTTGGCAGAATCGAGCGGGTGATCGACAACACCACGGTGAAGATGGTGCCCATCAAGATCGTGCACTCGGAGAGCCAGCCCGAGAGGGAGAGCCGCCAGGGCCTGGCCCGCGCCGCCGAGCCGCCCGCGCTGCCCAGCGGGCTGGAGCGAGACCAGATCAAGACGCTGAGCACGTCGGAGCAGTCCTACTCCCGCTTCTGCCTGTACAGCCGCCCAGGCACCGAGCCCCAGCCCCGGGCCCAGCCCCCCGCCGCCCCCGACAGCCGGGCCTCCCCGCCTGCGCTCAGCTACGGGAAGGCCAGGGAGAGGACCGCCGAGGACCTGAAGTCGGAGGAGCTGGCACGGGAGATCGTGTGCAAGGACAGGTCCCTGGCGGACATCCTGGACCCCAGCGTGAAGGTCAGGACCACCATGGACCTGATGGAGGGTATCTTCCCCAAGGACCAGCAGCTCCTGGAGGAAGCGCAGCAGCGCCGGAAGCTGCTGCCCAAGGTCCCCTCTCCCAGGGCCGCGGAGGACAAGTGAGTGCCCGCTGTGCGTCTACGGGGTCTCGTGGGTTACAAAGGGCCAGGGGCATCTGTGTATGTATATAAATTAATCCTCACCCGAGGATAGTTTTTTCCCATTGATTTTTTAGAGAGAGGGAGGGAGAAAGAGAGAAACAGAAACGTTAATGTGAGAGAGACACATCGATTGGTTGCCTCCCACATGCACCCCAACTGGGGTCGGGGATTGAAGCATGTGCCCTTGACCGGAATTGACCTGGGAACCCTTCAGTCCAAGGGCCGACTCTCCAACCCCTGGGCCACACTGACTAGGGCCGCACACAGTTTTTTGTTTGTTTGTTTTTTGATTATATTTTTATTGATTTCAGAGAGGAAGGGAGAGAGAGATAGAAATATCAGTGATGAGAGAGGCATCAATCGGCTGCCTCCTGCATGCTCCATACTAGGGATGGAGCCTGAAACCCAGGGCTGTGCCCTGCCCAGGAATCGAACCAGGGACCTTTGGATGCATGGGTTGACGCTCCACCACTGAGCCACACCAGCCGGGCTCCACGATCATCCTTTCGCAACAGTAGGCTGCAGTGCCGGGGTAGGGCATCACATGATTTATTGATTCACTTTAGAGAGAAAGAGGAAGGGGGAGAGTGGGGAGATGGGTCCGTTGTTCTGCTTATTTATACATTCATTAGTGGACTCTTGTCCGTGCCCTGACTGGGGATAGAATCCGCACTCTTGGTGTTTGGGGACGATGCTCTAACCAGCTGAGCCTCTCCTAGAAGTGGCACTCACGTCATCCTCGTACACCTCCGACACCGCCGGGGGAAACTGTCTGGATTCTTCCGTTCTGGGCAGAGACTTTTATTATTATTATTATTTTTTTAAATCCTCCCCCGAGGATATTTTTCCATTGATTTTTAGGGCGAATGGAAGAGAGAGGGAAAGACAGAGAGAAACATCGATGTGAGAGAGACACATTGATTGGTTGCCTCCTGCACACGCCCTGACCAGGGCCCTGGGCCAGGGAAGAGCCTTCAACCAAGTACGTGACCTTGACCGCAATTAAACCCAGGACCCTTTGGTCCCAGGACCCTCTATCCACTGAACCACACTGGCTAGAGCCCAGGTGGACTTTAGACATCCTTACTTATTGCAGCCTCCCTCCCCACCCCCCACCCCGCTTTTTAGAAACCCTGCCCCTTAGCCTTGATGAATATCCATCTGGCAAGGTATCTTCAGTCCTGACCTTACCTTGTCCTTCTTTTGCTGCCTGTCTCCCTGGCTAGTGTCCTTCCGAGGGCGCCATCATTTGTCGCAGCCCCGGTTGCCGGGTAACCGTGGGTTGGTGCCCATGATCGCAGATAATTGAGGTTCCTGCGTTTTTACAGGAGAGAGGAGCCCAGCGTGCCTTCAGCCGTGTCCCTGGCCACCAATTCCGCGTACTACAGCACATCGGCCCCCAAGGCGGAGCTGCTGATTAAGATGAAGGACCTGCAGGAGCAGCAGGAGCCCGAGGAGGACTCGGGGAGTGACCTGGACCACGACCTATCTGTGAAGAAGGTAGGACAGCCTGGGTTCCCCATGGCGGTGCACGCAGAGGCAGGCGGGGGCTCACCCGTGCGCACCCCCCAGGGACCCTGCACCGCGTGTGGGGCATTTGTGCTTGGCTTCTATGCAGGGCAGTGGCATTTGGGGCAGTCGTATTAAGCCCTGTGGTTAAACATCCTGTTCTAAGATGGGGCCTTTCCACCAGGATCTTTGCCACCTTTTTGTAATGAGATCCAGTGTCAAACTAGCTAAGTGGGCACCATTCTCTTTCTTTTCTTTTTAAATATGTTTTTATTGATTTTAGAGAGGAAAGAAGAGGGATAGACATAGAAACACTGATCGGCTGCCTCCTGCACACCCCCTACTGGGGATCAAGCCCGAAACCCGGGCATGTGCCCTGACCAGGAATTGAATTGTCACCTCTGGGTTCATGGGTCCATGCTCAACCACTGAGCCACACCAGCCAGGCTCATTTAAGTTCAACTGATATGTCCCTTTTATCCTGGTGAAAATCCAGGGAAATAATGGTGTGCCCTTCAGAGAACCCCGTGTCCTCTCTAAATATCAAGTTCGCATGTCTGTAAGCAGATGGTCCCAACTCCAGCAGTGGGCCGGACAGTGCTTGCGTAAGCAAACAGCATCGTTGGATCAACTCCAAGACTCCCTCGCTTGGCACTTGGGGATATGGCCGTGGACAGAGCGAATAGAGCACCTTCTCTGGGAGCTCATGTTCTCTGAGGCCAGGTGCGGAGGCAGCCAGCACATAGACAAAGACACGTGCTACACGAGGCCGGCCCACATGCGCGGCCCAGCCTGGCCACCACCTGCGTGTCAGTAAAGTGGCATGAAACAACCGCATCCCTTCCTGTGCATGTGGGCTGGTGGCTCTCGCACGACAGCAGCAGAGCTGCATCCTGGAAACAGTGGCCACATGGCCAGTAAAGTCTGAAATATTTACCATCTGGCCCTTTGCAAAACAAGTTTGCCAACTCTTTTTATTATTATTATTATTATTATTATTATTATTATTATTTTGTTGTTAATTCTCATATGAGGATTTTTTTATTGGTTTTTTTTCATTGGTTTTTAGAGAGAGTAGAAGAGAGGGTGAGAGAGAGGGGGAGGAGAGAAACACCGATGTGAGAGAGACACATCAATTGGTTCCCTCCTGTACTCGCCCCAACCGGGTCTAGAGAATGAACCTGCAACCCAGGTATGTGCCCTTGACTGGGAATCAAATCTGTGATGCGCAGGCCAATACCCTAACCATTGAGCACACCGGCCAGGGCTGCTCTATTATTTGATGATGCAAAATGGACTTGCGCCTGGTGGGGCTGACTTCCGTGTGCGGAGGCCCCGTGGTGCCCCCGCAGCGGCGGGCGGCCCAGGTTGCGCACCCCTGACCCTGTTTGTGCACCGCCCTGTGCCCCGCAGCAGGAGCTTATCGACAGCATCGGCCGCAAGCTGCAGGTGCTGCGGGGCGCGCGGGAGAGCCTGCTGGAGGACATCCAGGCCAACAGCACCCTTGGGGACGAGGTGGAGGCCATCGTCAAGGACGTGTGCAAGCCGAACGAGTTCGACAAGTTCCGCATGTTCATCGGGGACCTGGACAAGGTGGTGAACCTCCTGCTGTCCCTGTCGGGGCGCCTGGCCCGCGTGGAAAACGCCCTCAACAACTTGGACGACAGCGCTTCTCCTGGGGATCGGGTATGTAGGACGCATGCGACCTGGAAATCTGGGGGCTGGGGGAGGACACGTGGGGAGGTGCTCCTTGGGGAGTTGAGTGAATGCCTCGAAGGCTCACACAGCGCCTGTCCACCTCATGATGCAAGATGCTATTGAGTGCGGAGGGCTCTCTCCTCGTGTACTGGAGGGATGGCGTGGCCCTCCTGGGGACCAGGCTGCACCGCGCCCAGCATCCCGAGGCCCCTTAGAGAGGTGCGGAGCGGGTGGGCCGTTACCCCTCGGCTGTGCATGGCTGAGGCAGCTCCCCCTCCTCATTCTTTTTTTTCTTTTTAAATTTATTTATTCTTTTAAAACCCTCACCCGAGGATATTTTTCCACTGATTTTTAGGGAGAGTGGAAGAGAGAGGGAAAGACAGAGAGAAACATTGATGTGAGAGAAACACATCGATTGGTTGCCTCCTGGACGAGCCCTGACCAGGGCCCGGGCCGGGGAGGAGCCTGCAACCGAGGTATGTGCCCTTGACTGGAATTGAACCTGGACTCTTTGGTCCGCAGGCCGACGCTCTATCCAGTGAGCCACACCGGCTAGGGCTCCCCTCCCCTCATCCGACGCCGCTCAGTGGCCAGGTCTCAGCGTAGCCGGTGGTGGGTGAGAACCTCGTGTCAGGCATGGGGAAGCCCAGGCTTTCAGAGGCAGACACGCTAATGCGGTAAAAGGCGTGGCGCCAGGTCGTAGAAGGCGCCTTCATGTTTCCAGGTAGAAAATGAGCACGCGAACAGCGACGGGGGTCCTGCCCCCATCTCAGCAGCTTTGAGCCCGACTGCTTTGAGCCTGAACCGAATTTATAGAATCGGTTATGATCTGCTTCCCTTTCAGTTTGGAACCCACTGGCTTTGCCTCGCCTCTTTCCACCCGAGTGCATGGTGGCTTTGTTTGGCAAGCGCCTGGGGCCATGGTGCCCCAGCGAGGTGGGTGAGGTGCGCTGGCCCGGGTGGGCGCTTCCCCAAGCCGCACACTAGGAGCAGGCTGTTTGCAGCTGCGTGAAGCTCAGTTCCTCATCTCTGAGCTCTTCTGTGTGTCGGCGTTTGTGCAAAGTGTAGCCTCACCCCGCACGCCCCACACTGGGGATCGAGCCTGCAACCCGGGCATGTGCCCTGACCGGGAATCAAACCGTGACCTCCTGGTTCATGGGGTCAACGCTCAACCACTGAGCCATGCTGGCTGGGCCTTGGCACCCTTTTGAGCATCCGGGCATTCTGTCGCTTTCAGTCCCTTGGTCACACTGGGGTCACCTTGGCTGCCTCTGTTAGCAGTCCAGGCCCATGCGTGGCACTGGAGATGCCCTCGCACCGACGGGGGTGGGGGGTGCCACAGCCACAAGTGCTTGCGCCCACACTCTCAGGACTCAGTGCTGTCCTATCAGGGCTGCATCGCTTCTGCCCTGATCCTCACTGGCTTCTCCCTCTCTCCCTCCCCCCCCCCCCCCCCAACAGCAATCGCTGCTCGAGAAGCAGCGGGTCCTCGTTCAGCAGCACGAGGACGCCAAGGAGCTCAAGGAGAACCTGGACCGCCGGGAGCGCGTGGTGTTCGACATCCTGGCCAGCTACCTGAGCGACGAGAGCCTGGCCGACTACGAGTACTTCGTCAAGATGAAGTCGGCCCTCATCATCGAGCAGCGGGAGCTGGAGGACAAGATCCACCTGGGCGAGGAGCAGCTCAAGTGCCTGGTGGACAGCCTGCAGCCCGAGAGGAGCAAATGAGCGGCCTCCTGGGGGCGGAGCCGGCCTGCGCACCGCCCCGGGCAGCGGGCCCCAGCCTGGATGGATGTCCCGTAGTGAGAACCCTCTTGTAGCGATGTGGCTGTTAGAAAAGCGATAACTCGTGTTTGTCTGGGGAGATGCATTGGGTGTCTAGTTTCCCTGTGGATGCTGAGCAGAGCGGCTCCCCGTGGGGTGTTGTCCTTTACAAGGAGCCCCACGGGGCACGGGCCCTGGTGGCTGGCGAGCTTCTGCCATGGAGACCACAGGCTCTGTCCCGTGCTGCACGCGAGGGCCCCTTGGCGGCGGTCGCTCTGGCTTCCTGTGTCTTCCGCTGCCAAACCAGCCGCTTGGGCAGCGCTCAGCGAGTCCCCAGAGTGCACAGGAGGGGCCACCTGGCGCACGCCTTCTCTTGTGATCCACGAGAGGTGGCCTGCCACGTTTTATGCGTGTCCGTCCCATGCTGTTAGCGTTCACTGTCTCATATAACGTGCTCTCTGACCCAGCACAAACCTGTGATGATGAAGACGGTGATAATTTATTAACATAGTAGTTTCCAAGTGGTTAGAAACCAACTGTGAAATGCATAGCCTGTGTGTTGGGTCGCTCATTCTAAAAGCGCCACTCGAGTCGTGTGCATGCCTTCAAAGCCGCGCACCAAGCAGACAGCTTCAGTCCGTCCCACCCGGCGGCGCGGGTCAGGCGTGTTCCCGCAACGTGAAACGCCTGGTAAAAGGTGTGTGCGGTAGTCCTGTGCTTGCTAGGTGTTTCCCGAGACCAGTGGATCGTTCCTAAATTACTTTCTCCCCAGAGCATTTGTGTCGTGCGCATATGGTCATTAATGGTAATTGGCTACTTTTCTCTTTTTGCCTCTTTCAACCTGTCAGCATGCCCTGAAGGCCCATTCCGTTTCCTAAGAGCCCGCCTCCGGACTTCCGGGGGTCCCTCTGCAACTTTGCCACAGAGTTGACGGATCCCGGGCCCTTTTTATTGGTTGACATTGCAAGATTCTGAAGAGTCTATTCACTTAAAAGACAAACACTGTCATGATGTCAATTTGCAGTTGACAAGTCAGGCTGGGAGAAATGGTTTGCAAATCACATATGTGACAAAGGAATCATCTCCAGAATATATAAAGAACTCTGTACAACTCAACCGCAAGAAGACCAACAGTCCAGCTGAAACAGGGGCAAAAGATTTCACCAAAGAGGACCTATGCGTGGCACGTAAGCGTAGGAGAAAGATGGTCAACCGCCAATGGCTGGGTGGTAACTTATTTTTACCTAAATCACTGTGGAGCCGGTATGTTTCTTCTCAGATGCTCAGCTGATGCAGCGCGTGCTTACTGGTGGGGAACCCCTGGGATGAGTTCATGTCAGGGTAGCGTGGGCACTTGTTGGATGGAGGGGTTATTTGAATCCCGTTTCCCCTTATTCCCTATACAAGAAGTTTTCCAGCGGGTGGGGAGACCTCTCTGTCAGCAGTGACTGCCATCTAACCAAACCACACACCCACCAGTGTCTTAGGACCACGGTCCACGCTTCCTGAGCCGGAGGCGGCGGTGAAGGGTCCGCACGGGCCAGCTTCAGCACGGGCCAGCTTCAGGCGCGCAGGCGTCACCGCTCTTTTTGGCCACTTTCCAGGCGTGTTCACTGCTGTTAGTTAAGCTGTGTTGCGGTGAAAAGTGGCCACGTCGGAGGAGGTCCAGCTGGCTGCTCGCGGACCCCCGTGGTCCTCCCTCGGGGTCCTCCCTCGGGGACCACAGCCATTCCGTGTGTTTGCTTTTTAATTTAGACAAAGCTTTTACCTGTGATGCTTGCCCTCCGATACAGTGTTGTGGCCGTTGTGATGCTCTGTATGTAAATGTGAAACTAGAAAGTGTTGTGTCTGTGCCGGCCTTTTGATGTCTTTGAGGACTTCCTTCTCCGTGGGAATATGTAGTGCAATTCCCCTTTTAGCGAAGCCCCTGTGCCCACACCGTCCTGTCCAGTCCCCGCCTGCCTCTTCAGTGTCTGCTTGGCGGGACCCAAAGATCCAGGCGTCCGTGTACATACCTTTGTATATAGTGACATCCGTGCAGATCATAACAGTCTGGTGCTAACGTCTGCCCTCTGCGCGGGTGGGGGCTGTTCCGGACGCTCTGGGAAGCTCAGCCGTGGAATCCCCTGAATCGCGCAACTTCAGCCAGGCCATCGCCTGCAGTTCACTGTGGAAATGTGTGCGGATTCATGCTCGACGCTGACCACTTACCTCTCAACAGATCATCCTGCCTGACTTTGATGAAATAAAATAGTGTCTTCGAATGCATGGAGCCTGTCTTTGATTTACCTATTTTATCACAACTTTTGTTTTCATTCTTTGGGAATCCTCTCCGGGGATATTTTTCCTATTGATTTGTGGAGAGAGTGCAAGGGGGGTAGGGAGAGAGAGAAACATTGATGTAAGAGACACACATCGATTGGTTGCACCGACTAACAGGGACCGGGAATTGAGCTTGCAACCCAGGTATGTGCCCTGGATGGGGAATCGAACTCATGACCCTTCGGTGCTCAGGCCGATGCTGTAACCACTGAGAAACTGGTCACATGCCCTAACCGGGAATCGAACCTCAACTTCTTGGTTCCTAGGTCCACGCTCAACCACTGAGCCACATATTTTTGAAACCTGCTCTTCACTTAACATTGGGAACTTCCCTCCCTCCACCAATTATTCTTCAGCATAAGGTTGAATTCCTATGTAATAGTCCACTGTAAGGACACAATGGTTTACTGACTGTGTTCTCTACATGGGGTTATAGGATGATTTCACTTGTCCCGTGGTACCTCAGGTATGAAGTCCATTTGGTGTGTTCCTGTGCGCATCCTTGCACACATCCCCACTTGCTGGAATAAGTTCCTTCTCACAGGAACTAAGCAGAGGTTGCTGCGGAACTTGACTCCCACATAAAATTTGGTCCGAAGTGTGGCCTGGCGGACCCCCCACCCCTATTGGCCTTTTGGCAGCCTCATTCCTCACAGCAGCCCCATCTGACACGTTACCCCATAGCCGGCCAGCTTCTCCCAGTCAGGAGTGACCTCCACCTTCCACTGCATCTGCTCATGGACGCCACGTTCACGATGTTGTCACCCGAGGTGCAGCGGGAAGGTCATTGCCCGCAGCTTCAGGGTCTTTCCTAACGTGCTGGCTATCATTGGGCTTTGATAACAACCTCGCCCGTGCGGGGCCACTGCTGCTGACGCCTGCTCGGATGTGTTCTCATTGCTGTTTGTTTATTTATTTGAATCCTCACCCGAGGATACTATTCCATTGATTTTAGAGAGAGTGGAAGAGAGAGGGAAAGACAGAGAGAAACATCCATGTGAGAGAAACAAATCAATTGGTTGCCTCCTGCATGAGCCGCGACCAGGGACTGGGCTGGGGAGGAGCCTACAACCAAGTACGTGCCCTTGACAGGAATCGAACCCGGGACCCTTTGGTCGGCAGGCCTACGCTCTATGCACTGAGCCACGCCGGCCGGTGTCATTACTGTTTGCACGGTCATTTCTTCCGGGTGGTGTGGGAGAGACCATTTCTGGAGGACGGGAGAGGGAGGGGTTAGGACACCCGGCTGCTGTCAAGCAGACCTTGAGGACTCCATGGTCTGAGCCCAGCTCACCCAGGAAGCAGGTAGGGAGGGTGCCTGATGAGAAACAGAGTAAGCCTGGTGGTCAGTGAGGATTGGATACTGCCGTGTGTTCCGCACCCGGCAACAGAACCCTGCTGGTCAGGACAATGGGGGTGGAATGTGGCTGTGGACTGGAGGCTGAGGAGAGGGCTGGGAGTCGTGTGCCAGGCCCTCGTGTGGCTGAGGCCCGTGTGGCCGGTCCCGCATAGCCAGGAGCCGGCCGGAGGACGCCCAGAGGAGCCGGAGGACACCCAGAGGAGCCGCGTGTGTGTCAACAGCGCTGCCTGACCTGTTAGTCGCCGTTCCTAGACACTCAGTCCCTTGGAGACACATCCCTGGTCAGTGGGGCCCAGCCTGTTTGTATTAATTTGCGGGGGTAAAGTGGGTATAACTAAACAATTATCATGTCACTGTCAGGATTGCCCAATGAGGAACACACACGGCCAAAGGGGTGAGGGATCATGAATGTGTTGGGTCACCTGGAGACCACATGGGCTGAGCCCCAAATGGCACCAGCCCCAGTGACGGGGTGTCAGAGGGTTTAAAGGGTCCGTGTCCTGGGAAGGTCTAGATGAGAAAGATAATGGTCTTACCAGTGGATGTGGTCTTACCAGTGGATGTGGTCTTACCAGTGGGATGTGGTCTAAGCAGGAGGGAAGGCCTGTTGTGAAGTGGCCTAAAGGGCAGGTCCCAGGGGAGGGGTAGCAATCCAATGACTTGATGAGACCTACCAGTCACCTTTTTAAGCGTACAGTGCAGTGTCACTAGGGACCTTCACAATGTTGTGCTACCATCACCACCATCATCTCCAGAACTTTTTCACCTCCACAAAGGGAAACTGTGCCATTGACCACTACACCCCCACTGCTCCCCAGCCCCTGGCACCCTTGGTTGCTTTCTTTTGCTGAGTGTGGCTGCTCTAGGGACCACATAGAGGTGAAATGGTGCATGTTTGTCTTTGTGTAGCTGGCTCGTTTCACTCAGTAGAATGTCTTCAAGGATGGATGATACCCCATGGTATGGGCGGCCCGCATGCTGACTGTCCACACACCCATGATGAACATTGGGGTGTTTCCACCTCTTGGCTGTGGTGAATAACGCTGCTATGAACATGGGGATGCAACTATCTGCTAGCGCCCCTCCTTTACCCTTGGTCGGGGTATTAATCCAGAGCTGGCATTGCTGAATCTTGGGAGCATGCAAAGATATATATTTTTATTGATTTCAGAGAGGAAGGGAGAGAGAGATAGAAACCTCAATGATGAGAGAGAATCATGGATCTGTTGCCTCCTGCACGCCTCACACTGGGGATCAACCCCACAACCCGGGCATGTGCCCTGACTAGGAATCAAACCCTGACCTGCTTCATAGGTCGACGCTCAACCACACCGGCTGGGCTGTAGCCCATCTTAATTGTGTCTTTCAACAAATGTCCAGAAGTGGAACTGCCTGTTTGAAAGTTTGTACATATTTTGATTGACTTTAGAGACAGAGAGAGAGGGCGAGAGAGAAACATCGATTTGCTGTTCCACTGACTGATGCATTCATTGGTTGATTCTTGTATGTGCCCTGAGCAGGGATTGAGGCCGGCAACCTTGGCCTATTGGGAAGACGCTCTAACCTAGCGGTTCTCAACCTGTGGGTCGCAACCCCTTTGGCGGTCGAACGACCCTTTCACAGGGGTCGCCTAAGACCATCCTGCATATCAGATATTTACATGACAATTCATAACAGTAGCAACATGACAGTTATGAAGTAGCAACGACAATAATTTTATGGTTGGGTCACAACATAAGGAACTGTATTTAAAGGGCCAGAAGGTTGAGAACCACTGGCCCTTTAAATACAGATGAGAATCTAACCACTTAGCAAACCCTGCCAGGGTGAAAGTCTGTATATTTGAAGGCTTTCAATAAATGTTGCCCAAGGACCCTTTGCCAGCAGAGCATGGGGGTCAAGTGTCTCCATTCTGGAATATGGCATCTCCCTCTCCAATATAGCCCCGCTTACCCCTGGGGGGCGGTTCCAGGCTGTGGGTCCCACCTTATAACGCCCTCTATTGGTTTGCAGATCCCCTGGATACACGGCCATGGCCATGTTTAAAAACGCCAATTGCCAGGCAGCGAGTTTCTCCCTCAACACTCTGGGATGGATCTTATCCATGACCTGCATGGGCCTGGCCGAGTGGCGGGTGTGGTACATGGAGAGCATCTCTGACCCCTCCCGGGGGCTGGCCTGCATTGGGATGTGGAAGGTCTGCACTTACCAGCACAACAGCCTCCCCGGCAGAGTCATAGCCTGTCACCGCTACAGCTACAGTGACACCTACTTGCCGCTCGATATCCGCATCGCTCAGAACCTGCTGCTGGCCGCCAGCCTCCTCGGGCTCCTGGGGAAAGTGCTCATGGTCACGGGCCTGCTGAGAGTGTACGCGGGGCAGCTTCAGAAGGACACCACCTGCAATCTGTTCTTCACTTCCGGAGTCCTGAGCGTCGTAGCGGGTGCATTTATCTTCACTGCTGTGATCTGGAACCACCACTCCGTGATGAATGAAGAGGGCATACACTTCCCGCCATCCTTCCACATCCCCTTCAGGCCGGACCGGCAGGAGACGGGCAGCACCGTGCCCGTGGCGGTTCTGGCTGCCTTCCTCATGCTGTTGAGTGGGCTGCTTACCATCTCTTTCCAGCTGCCCCCCAACATCCACGTGTACCCTGAAGTCTCGCAAGTGTGAAATTCCCGGCTGCATAGCTGTGCAAATCCAAGAGAGCCGCTTATGGGGGTGAAGTGTTATCAGGATGCTCTATGAAATAGTTCCAAGGCAAAGTTCATTCTGAGCAGAAAGTGGCCATTGGCTTCTATGTCCAAATTGGGCTCATTGATTGGTTAAGGAACTTTCATTAAAAAAAATTCCAAAATACCCCACTGTCCAGCTGTCTTACTGAATCTGGATTTTAATTATTATTGGGTAAGTAATCAATGCTAGACACCTACTGTGTGGAAATGAGAGTTGCTGGGATTCTCACGGCTCCCTCTCAAACACCCGCTAAAAACAGCCGGCCTGACCTTCCATGGCATGGCCCTAACACCTCTCCGCCACATGCAGGTCCCCACATGAGCAAGAGCAGAACAGCGGAAGGAATCTCCCTTCCACTATCAGACTCAACAGTTACCGCGAAGTGGCCATATTCGCTTTCTCTCTACTTCCTTCCCTTCATTTCATCTATTTTTCTTTCTCTGAATATCTTTAACGCAAACCCCAGACTTTACGTTCCTTCATTCCTATGCACCTCAAGATTATTCTCTAAAAAAAAGGACATTTCCTTGCCTAATCATAGTATACCTTTAAAGTTAACAACTATTTCTTATGAACATCAAATACCAGAATTTTTTAATGCTTCAAAAATAATTCTACACTTTTATTTATTCATTATTGCATTGGATGTTCACTCTGCCTCTTAAGTCTTAATTATTTTTTTAAGAGGGAGGAATTCTCTTTTAAAAAAGTTTTTTTTCATTGATTTCAGAGTAGAAGGGAGAGGGAGAGATAGAAACATCGATGATGAGAGACAATCATTGATTGGCTGATTCTTACACATCCACACTGGGATCAAGCCCCCAGTCAGGAATCAAACCGTGATCGCCTGGTTCCTAGGTCCACGCTCAACCACTGGGCCACCCGGCTAGGCTGAAATGAGCTTCTTCTCAAAGACTATTTAAGTCTCTGAGAGCACAGAGACTTGAGTCTATCAGCAATGTAAATATGTGTCCAAAGTCATTGCCTGTGGACCCTAGAATGTTCAATGGAACCTTTGCCTCTGGGCTTTGAATCCCATCTGTGGGCCATGAAGTCTTCCTTCTTCCCTCTGATGGAGCGAGTGTAAAGTGGTGGAAGCCTTCTGTAGGAAATGTCCCTTCGCTGCCTGCCATGATTTGCACACCGTCCTTAGAACTGGGAGGAAGTCACAGCCTCTGCATTGAGTTAGAGACCCTGGCTCCCTTCCCAGGGGCTTGAAAGGGGCCTCTGCCTCCCCTGGGACGTTCAGGGCTGGCCTTGGGCCGAGTCTGACCCATTCTCCATGCAGGTCTGGGATGGCTGGGAAATGGCTCCTAGGGAAACACCTGTAGTCGGTCTCATTTTTTACAAAAGTACATATTCATTGATTTTATAGAGAGGAAGGGAGAGGGATAGAGAGTTAGAAACATCTATGAGAGAGAAACACTGATCAGCTGCCTCCTGCAAACTCCCTACTGGGGATGGAGCCCGAAACCAAGGTACATGCCCTTGACCAGAATCAAACCCGGGACCCTTCACTCCATGGGGCGACGCTCTACCCACTGAGCCCGGTTTGAAAGAGGATGTGTGTTATTTAAGTGAGTCAACCCTCTGGTTATTTGAAAAAAGAAGCTCTTGGGAGACATGCTTCTGATGAGGACCCTGATACTGGAACCCGATACCCTGCGGAGGGCGGCGCCCCTGCCTCCTGCTGGTCACTCGGGGGAATGACAGAACCGCTGGGGCTGAGGAAAGAGGTCTCTTGACCCCTCCTGGCCTTCAGTGTCAACAGAGAGCAAGCAGACAGGTCATGAGGTTCAGACACAGAAGGTGAGGCGGCCACCAGGCGGGGTCTGCTCTGGGACAGCGGGGAAAGGAGTTCCAAGCCCCTGTCAAGGGCTCTTTGGAATGACTGTTTAAGGGACGCACTTTATTATTTATTCACAGGAATAAGGCAAGGGAACGTGTCCTGCGCATTTCCCGCGGGTGCAGCACCGCGAGGGCGCCTGAGGGCGGTGGCATTTCTCTCCTTCTTCTCCTCCCTGGGAATCCTCCAAGGTGCCCAGGAGCCAGAGGCTGCCCTGTGGCCTTTGGCTGGGGGCCAGCGTGGGACCGTGCCAGGCCCTCTGCTGGGGACACCAGGCCTCCCTGGTGACAGCACTGGCAGAGGGAGGCTGAGCAGAGGCAGCGCCTGGGTCACAGCGTGCCTCCCGGACACCAGCAGGGGCGGTCACAGTGCCAGCCCCGCCCCGCGAGCTGTGTTTCCTGCTCAGGAGTGGCTTTGCCCTTTCTCTTCCTCGTTCTCCCTGTTTGCCATCCCCCGTGGGCCCTTCCTTCTCCTCCCTGCCCACCTCCATCCCCGGGTCATGTGTCCCATGGGGACAGTAAATGTGCAACTGGAGGCAGTCGGGTGCCGGCCACATTTAAGGTAGAGGAGAGGGGGAGGGGAGGGGAGCTCTGCAAGTGAAACAGAACAGAGGCTCCCGACAGGACCCAGGTCAGCTTCCCCGCACCGTCCTGGGCCGAGGACCGTTCAGCGAGGCCGCCCCGTGGCCTGGCCCTGGCTCCCATCACGACACACTTTCTCCCCGTCACCGTGGCCCTTCCTCCAGGCTTTCGACTTAAGACTCTGATGAATTACACTGACTATCTGGTCTAAGACCTCAAAAAGGACATTTCTATTGTAGAAAGACTTCGTCTTTTCTTAAAATATATTTTTACTAGAGGCCCAGTGCACGAAATTCATTCAGGGTCGGGGGGCCGCGGGGGGTTTTTCTCAGCCTGACCTGCACCCTCTCCAATACGGGATCCCTCAGGGTATGTCCTACTGACGGCTTAGGTCCAGTCCATGTGGTTCTCTGCTGTCTGCAGTGCCGCTTGGCCGCTCCTGGGTTGCCGCGGCAACGTCCAAGTAGGCCCTGCTCTCAGCGGCCGCCCCCAGGACTGGAGGACTCCAGCGGGGCTGAGAGGACTGGGCGCCACCATCTTGTGGCTATGGGTGTCACCATCTTTGTGGTGGAGTGACAGTGAATTTGCATATTACTCTTTTATTAGGATTCTTTTCCGAGAGAAAAGGAGAGGGAGAGAGAGAAATATCACTGATGACAGAGAATGATGGATCGGCTGCCTCCTGCATGCCCCACACTGGGGATGGAGCCCACAACCCGGGCATGTGTCATGACCTGGAATCAAACCATGACTCTCCTGGTTCCTAGTTACATGCTCAACCACTGAGCCACATTTTAAAAATATATTTCCATTATTATTATTAAATCTGTATTGTTCAGATTATTACATTTGTTCCTCTTTTTCCCCCCATAACTCCCCTCCACCCAGTTCCCACCCCACCCTCTGCCCTCACTCCCCACCCACTGTCCTCATCCATAGGTGCACAATTTTTGTCCAGTCTCTTCCCGCATCCTCCACACCCCTTTCCCCCCCAAGAATAGTCAGTCCATTCCCTTTCTATGCCCCTGATTCTATTATAATCACCAGTTCATTCTGTTCATCAGATTTTTTATTCACTTGATTTTTAGATTCAATTGTTGATAGATGTGTATTTGTTGTTCATAATTTGTATCTTTACCTTTTTCTTCTTCTTCCTCTTCTTAAAGGATACCTTTCAGCATTTCATATAATACTGGTTTGGTGGTGATGAACTCCTTTAGCTTTTTCTTATCTGTGAAGCTCTTTATCTGACCTTCAATTCTGAATGATAGCTTTGCTGGATAAAATAATCTTGGTTGTAGGTTCTTGGCATTCATCACTTTGAATATTTCTTGCCACTCCCTTCTGGCCTGCAAAGTTTCTGTTGAGAAATCAGCTGACATTCGTATGGGTACTCCCTTGTAGGTAACTGACTTTCTTTCTCTTGCTGCTTTTAAGAGTCTCTCTTTGTCTTTTGCTCTTGGCATTTTAATTATGATGTGTCTTGGTGTGGTCCTCTTTGGATTCCTTTTGTTTGGGGTTCTCTGCGCTTCCTGGACCTGTAAGTCTATTTCTTTCACCAGGTAGGGGAAGTTTTCTGTCATCATTTCTTCAAATAGGTTTTCAATATCTTGCTCTCTCTCTTCTTCTGGCACCCCTATAATTCGGATGTTGGTACACTTGAAGCTGTCCCAGAGGCTCCTTACACTATCTTCGTATTTTTGGATTCTTTTTTCATTTTGCTTTTCCGGTTGGGTGTTTTTTGCTTCTTCGTATTTCAAATCTTTGACTTGATTCTTGCGCTCCTCTGGTCTGCTGTTGGGAGTCTGTATAATATTCTTTATTTCAGTCAGTGTATGCTTAATTTCTAGTTGGTCCTTTATCACAACATTGAGGGTCTCACTAGATTTCTTGAGGATCTCACTACATTCATCAGCGGTCTCACCATTCTTTTCGAAGGTCTTACTAAATTTATCGGCGGCTTCTAGACAGTTCTTGAAAAACCTTAAAAGTGTGCTTTTGAACTCTATATCCAGCAGTTTGCTTTCCTCCATTTCTGTCATTTGTGTCCTGTTTCTTTGTCTACGCATTTTTTTATGCTTCCTTGTGTTGATAAAGTGGTTTTCTGTGCTAAGGGTCCTCTAGGGCCCAGTGGTTCAGCCTCCCCAATTACCTGAGGAGGACACTCTTGGTGCTCCCCCTTGTGGTCTTTGTGCACAGTCTTGTTGTAGTTAAGCCTTGATTGTTGTAAGTAACACTGGGAGGGGTTGACCTCCAGGCCAATTGGCTGTGAGAATCAGCAGTGTCTGCAGTGGGAGAACTTTTGTCCTGGAGCTCTAGGGAGGTGCTAATCTAGCCTCTGCCTGAGGCTATCCAGCAAATGCCACCGTGGAAAGGCTTGGGCAGGGCGGGTCCCAAGGGATCAACAGGGAGGGTGGAACAAGCAGTTATGGCTGCTCTCAGTCCTGCCTTCAGAGGCCCTGCTTCTCAGTGTCCCAGCAATTACTGCAAGTACCTCCGAGAGAAAGCTGCCCTCGAGTTCCGACCTATGCCAGACAGTCCCGCTTCTCCCGTATGAGTCTAGGTCAGGGGTGGGCAAACTTTTTGACTCGAGGGCCACAATGGGTTCTTAAACTGGACCGGAGGGCCGGAACAAAAGCATGGATGGAGTGTTTGTGTGAACTAATATAAATTCAAAGTAAACATCATTACATAAA